TACTCCAGCGCTTTTGATCCAGTTTAACTGCAGCATGAACTGGCTCAGTTGTCACTGAGCAGCAAATGCTCGAGCGTTTTACTTTGAGTGCTTTCAGAAATCCCAAATCGTGCTGGCGTAAGTCTATCTACGCTGAGCTGTGGATGTCATGTCAGCTGATGCTTCCGAGGTCACGAACCGTTAAGCTCAGTGTGTTTGAGGCTGTGTGAGGATCAGTGCAGTTCTTCAGAGGCCTCATAAATTAGAAGCTCAAACTTCCTGGAAAATTGCTACTTTCTACATAACATTAAATCTTCACTGGTGACCTAATGCTGCACTCGTAGATGTGAATAGTAAGTTCAACCAATGAAGCTATCACAAATGTTTGGGCCGTCCCACCTCCCTACCCTTCTTGTCTTTCTCAACATATCTGATGTCCCATTGATTTATACTTGAGATTTATCCCTTACAGTCCAGTGTTCCTCACACGACACACCCGTTAAACATCGCGATGCGTCACAAACTAATGATTTTGTTTCGGTATGAAAGCAGTGACTGCAGCAGCATGATAAAACAAAAGCAAGAGTTGAGACATTTGTTGTTTAAAATGTGCCTCTTCAAGTAAAACTAGTGTCAGTATCATTCCAGAGTTACTTTGTTTGCCATTATTTTCTTATACATTTACAAAGAATCATCATTTGCGACTGCAGCTATGTTCGTTAAACCTCTTTTTGTTCGTCTTCTGAACCCTTTTTTCTTTGCTTTTCCATTTTCTTCGTGCATCTCTTTACTCACCTTTATCGTGGTCACCTGTTTGCTCTATTTCTCTATTAGCTCGTTTTACGGCTGCTTTTATCTCCCTCTTCTCTTTATTTCATTTCATTCCTCTCCAGGCCTTCGAGCGAGCGTTTTTGTTCGCTCGCCTGCTTCCGGCCTATCTCCTCATCTCTGCAGCACTCTCCTCTCTCCCCTCCGTTCGTCCGTTTCTCTCCCTCGCTCAGCGCTGTCCATAAATTGTTCGGTATTTACAGTATGTGGCCAGACGCCAGGTTTCCATTAGGTGCTTCGTTCCCCGGAGACGGCGCCGGTGGCCTGGGATGTGTTACCTCTGGATGGAGAGGCGGGGGAGGTGGGGGGGGGGAGAATCAGCATGATGTGAGGAGAGAGGAGGAAGTCAAAAAGAGGGGAAGGGAGAGAGGGGAAAGCAACAGTATTTAAGGCAGAGAGCAGGAGATGGGGTGATAGTGTGAGGGTCAAGTGATGAAAGAAAGAAACTTCAGTCGAGATAAGACCATGAAAGAGAAAGAAAAGATCGGAAGGTGGATAGTTTTGCACTTATTGAAAGTCACAGGGTTGCTGTTGTCTTTTTTCAGTAACCTGATTAAAGCTGCGCCTACGGATTGCTTTGATTGTTGGTTACTCTCTTGATTGTAAATTTTTATTGACTGCTTAAGCATGTGGGCTGCAAGGTGGCTCGGTGGTTAGCACCATTGCCTCACATCTAGAAGGTCGCCGGTTTGCGTCCCAGTGAGGACACCCGGGATTTTTCTGCGTGGAGTTCACATGGTCTCCCCGTGCAGCGTGGGTTCTCTCCGGGTTCTCCAACTTCCTCCCACACAGTCCAAAAACATGTTGAGATTAATTGGTGGTTCTAAATTGTCCGTAGGTGTGAATGTGAGACATGGTGGAGACTGGTGACCTGTCCAGGGTGTCCCCTGCCTTCACCCTGAGTCAGCTGGGATAGGCTCCAGCCCCCCCGCGACCCTAGTGAGGATTAAGCGGTGTATAGATAATGGATGGATGGATGAAGAATGTAGTCTAGAAAATGCCAAAATGAATGATGAACAGTAAAAAACACAAGATCTCAGAGCTGTGCTATCTTGTACATCTCATCCAACAATCCAAAATCTCCTCATTTGTAGTGTAAAGCCACTGGATAGTGGATTTGTGGGACAAGTACTCTTTTTTTAGGGAGTAAAAATACACTGACATTGATATATTGAAAGATATTTCAGGGCCAATACCAATTATCGGTAATAAAGATATACATTAAACCGTATTTATTGGTAACATGTGATAGCAGGAAACCAGCCATTCATAGCTTGTTTTTTTTTTTTAAATAATAGTGATTACTATAGCTGAAAATGTGCATAGAAACCTTAAATTAAGTATCTATGATGGCGGCGTGCAGATGGAGGCTCAGAGCTCTCCCTTTCGGTGCTTTTTTGTTTGTTTATGTACGTCTTTTTTATTACTTCAACCACGATGTGTCGCAAACATCGTCTACAGCCGACAAGACCTCCTCTTACTGGGAACAATACTAAACTGCACACCTCATCTTTTTTTAAATTTAAATTTGTGTGTTTATAACGATTTATTAGCAGTCACTTTATCTTTTATATATCTCTGTTTTTACATCTTTGCACATAGTTTTGTTTGTTTAAAATTGCTATTTTGCACTGAACAGGATTGTGCTCAATTTCATTGTACTTTTTGTCTTATGACATTAAAGATTCAGATTCTGATAAATGTCATAAATGACAAAACAATCCTCTTAGATAGAGCCTTAGCCTAGCACCATTAGCAAAATTAATTTTGGACAACAACAAGTGAATTATTCAGGCATTATCAGAGAAAGTAGGCGTGCTTGTGTAGGACTGCGGTGTTTATCACATCTTTGTTGTGGTGTGTTAGCAGTGTACTAAAAAAGAAAATTTTGGGGCTATTGATCATTACCTGTCTAGCCATGGTTTTCAGAAAACAGTTAACAAGTTGCCACGTAGACACCACTTGGCTTTGTGACACAGTTTGCTCAGCTGTGATGCATACTCTGCTACATGTACTGCAGACATTGCTAAGAGCCACCAGCGCTGCTCTGCTGGACAAACTATGTGATGACGCATTTTTTAAATTAGTCCAAGTAAAAAAATAAAATAAAATAAATTCACATCATATTCTTCATACACTGAGGCACGTTTTCTTTTTGCAATCTGGACACTGGTGAATTCAGTTTTTTTCTCAGGTGGATTTCTTGAAGACAAAGAATATTTGACAATAGACATGGAATTAAGTTCCTAATCATTTTTATGTGCACGTGAGGAAGACTTCAGACTGAGAAAGTGTCATTTTTTTCTGTCCTGTCAGTCGAATGTGTCTGTGAAACACACATGCAAGGAACAAACAAAACCTTAAGAAGTGCTGTCTTGTACGATAAAATAAGTATTCCACGGTTCTAAGACAACTAAACAAGGTCAGGAGAGAAATGTGATTACTGACCTGCTGCGTGTGAATGCAGATTTCACAGTCACCAGGCTACTACAGGGCATGTAAACACACTGTAAGACTTGAAAAACCTGATTTCTCTCTTTTGTGAATGTAATCAGAGAAAGCCAAGTGTGGGAGGACAGAAAAGCAGTGCAGTAGGTAGAGATAAGAGCAATAACAAACAGGGGGGATGGAGAGGGTATGAAAGTAGATCAGAAAGGAGATAGAGGAGGAAAGAGGGCACGACTGGGGAGATGTAGGGGTGGAGATAACAAAAGAGATGAGCAGAGCTGAAAAGTAAGGAAGGGAAGAACGAGGGAATGGGTAATGAAGAAAGAGACAGGAAGGATGAAAAGGAGGCTTTAGAGGGTTTTGGATGAGGGCTTCTCCTCCTTATCTGCTTTATCTCCTCCGGTTGTTCACTGCCGGACTTTCTCCCTCCCTTCCTCCCTGCTCCCATCTGTCAGACAGACAGCTGTTGGCAGACTCTCTGTTGTTGTTCACTCACAGTCCAGAGTCTCCCTGATTCAACCCAATCCCTCCGTTCCTCCATCGCCTTCCAAATATGCTTTTATATTTCACTTCTGTCCTCTCCGCCCGACCCCCGTCATCAGTCTGGAAGAACTTGACAGTCTTTGGGATTTACTCTTGTGGTCAGAGAGTTAAAAAGGTCCTCCCACAGGTTACACGAGAACATCAGTGACATCAGCGTGCAATCAGTTTGTTTGGCCTGTTGCACTTATTGTTGGCGATGTGTTTGTGTTCGAGCGGCCACAGATTAAGACTGTATGATACTTGAGAAGAACTGAGCATATTGGACCGATGGTTATTATTTATTAGAGCTTGGCCGCTCATTGTTGTCCACTTCCAGTAGAATACATATGCACTTTGCCTGATTGCATGTTATTGTGTGAATGATTTATAGGACTAAACCTGATGCAATTTAATACAACATTTTGATTGGATTCCAGACAGGGCTGCACTCGTCTACATCTGCTTCTGCTAATAGTACGTCTTGCTGTTTTTCTTCTTCTTGTATTTCAGTGCTTTAACAACTACTACTTTTTTTAAGAGTACATTTTCTTCTTCTACTACTGTGCACTGGCAAAAACCACAAAAATAATTAAAAATCCTTCATAAATCTGTAGAAAATTTTGGCAACAAATGTGCCAGAAACGTTGTGTTAAAAATGGTCAAAAACTATAAAAACAGTGAATACAACTGCAAACATATTTTGATGTTTTTAGTTGATTTTTAAAGTAGCTGTTTGTAATTTCACAAAAAAATGAAATAACAGTACAATTACAGTTGAACTGTAAAATTACATATTCATTTTTTCCCTCTGCTCCTTTACTGATGCTCCTACTCCTTGTATTCCCTCTTTTGTCTTTTATCATTATTATTACCTTTAATCCGTGTTTCTGTGTGCATAGAGGGGGCTGTAAGGTGGCTCAGTGGTTAGCACTGTTGCCTCGCAGCAAGAAGGTCGCCGGTTCGCGTCCCGGTGAGGACACCCGGGATCTTTCTACGTGGAGTTTGCATGTTCTCTCTGTGCAGCGTGGGTTCTCTCCAGGTTCTCCGGCTTCCTCCCACACAGTCCAAAAACATGTTGAGGTTAATTGGTGATTCTAAATTGTCCGCAGGTGGGAATGTGAGTGTGCTTGGTTGTCTGTCTCTAAGTGTAGCCCTGTGATAGACTAAACAAAAAACTAAGAAAGAACATTTATTGATTGTTTTACCCCATCCCCTCCTTCCAGGTGCGCTGGTCAGATGTTGGCGGAATGGAGGAGGTGAAGCTAAAGCTGAAGCAGGCCGTGGAGTGGCCCCTGAGGCACCCCGAGGCCTTCACCCGCATGGGGATCCAGCCGCCTAAGGGAGTCCTGCTCTACGGGCCGCCGGGCTGCTCCAAGACCATGATAGCCAAGGCTCTGGCTAATGAAAGTGGGCTCAACTTTTTGGCCATTAAAGTGAGTTCTCGTTGAATCATAATTTATTTATTTCAGAGAAGTCTCCTTTGTTGTCGTTGTCTAGACACGATTTGAAATGATTATATTGCTTTCCCTGGTGGGCAGTGAGAGATAGGGTAAAATCCAAGAAGGCACTGGCCAAAAACTTATTGTTCTCTGCTTTAATACATAAATATGAACAAATAATGTTTTACAGATGTGCCTCTTCATATCATACTCTGGGTTGAGTGCCCTGCCAAAACACTGCATATGAGTCAGCCATTAGTCTGATGAATGATGATTTGTTGATTCGATCTCATCTCACAGTCGAGCTCAAACCTTTGTAAGTCAACGTTGTTTATGTAAATTGCATTGCACTTCCCCCCAGAATTAACTAATAACCATCTAAAGGAAGTTGGTGTGATATAAACACACACTTCTGTCATGTCCATATAAAGAGGGGAAGAAGACAAAACGTTATGTGTGTGATGTTGTTTCTAGAAAAGGGCAGAAAGATTGAACAGTTCTTAACATACAGTTTTCTTGTTTACGTCAGACAGACAATCGCATTCCCCACTACAGTTTTATATAACAGTACCCTGTCAGTTTGTAATTATATGCACACTTCCCCAAAATTCTGCAAATTTGGCAAGTGTGGAGACTTTGACATCATCAATTTAGCACAATGCTGTTTGGGGTACGTAATGACTGGTTGACTAGAGGGATGTAAGAGGTTAGTGTACATCTAATATATTACACACAAAACAGATGCGGATTACGTTCATATGAATATGACATCAAACTCACCACTGCACTTGATTGGGTCCCCAGCGATCAACGGTTTTCGAGAAAAGCAAAGAACAATCATACAGAGGTTCCTTCGTTTAGTTGTGAGGTATCGCGTGTTGAGGTAGTGGTGGCGATGTTTCCCCGTTGACCCGAAGGCGGTCAGCTTCCTCTGCAGAGAGCTTCCTCGACTGGCCTTTGACCCCGTGTTTGTCCCCTCTCATTCATCACCCTATCTTCTCTGCCACCCCCACTGTCACCCCCTCGTCTCGTCCCCCCTCCATCCAGGCCTGGTTGACGGAAATTGATTGATTAGCTTGTTGAACTGTTGATCAGTAAATGTTTTTTTAAAAAAAAAGAAAGAAAGAAAACATTGCCATACAAGACAGGAAGCTAAGACAGAAGCTCTCAACTGGTACCATTAAGCCAGCAGGTGATGCTGGTGTGAATTACAACTTTTTTTTTTTTCTTTTTAATTCACTAGTATGATATTGTGTTGTTAACACCGAGTGAGTGAGGAGGGTCTCTTCAAATGCATAGAAACTGTTCTACTTCAATCCCAGAATCAACCTGCAATTTGCTTTAAAGTTAAAACGTCAAACAACTTTAGAATCACCCTAATTTTCTGTCCACCGTCATCGGTAAACAAACACAATGTGTAATGCCCCACTATAAATACCTAATTAATCTGAATTCCATCAATGCTGCAATTAGGATTATTTAATTAATCCTGGGAAAGTTCAGAAGCAAATAAATTTACTGGAGCTATCATATATCCTAGATAAACAATTTAACAGTTTTATGCCTTTGGTATTACATTTTAGAGCTCAACAGAATAGTTAATTGTTCAGAGAATAAGCTCCTTTACAGGTATCGTCTTGTTTTCAAATGGATCCTGACAAGACATGCGCATTTAGTAGCTGGATTTCAAAATGTTTTCACTCAGACTCTCTTATCTTAGAGAGTCTGTGTAGTGTTTGATATAAGGGTTGATAAAAAAAAAAAAAAAAAGAGTTGTACTTTAATCTTGTCCGACAAGTTTTAAGTCATCACAAAGAGAATGTGCTCGAGGAAAAAAGTGAAAAACATCCTGTCCCTCCTGCTAAAAAGTCACTCTCCACCATCTGCAATAACAGTATCAGGTTTTTCCAGTGCAGCGGTTGCTTTGACATAGATACGTTATCCAGATTTAAATGTGGATACTTTAAGGCTCAGCCTGTTTCCTCTGTGTGAAAAAGCCCTATTATCATCTTGTCAATTTCAGTTTCCTCCCACTGCAGCCACTCAAACACACTCACATCCGCAGATGCATACGTGCACACACACACACACACACACACACACACACACACACACACACAACTCGTATCTCTACAGCGTCAATGGTTTTCAAACTCACCATGTCCAGCCCTCGGCCCTGCCACAGAGAGAGGAACCTGGGATTAATGAGTCAACCTCCACACTTACGGCAGGAGACAAAAGGGCTGGGAGTTAAGTGTCGTCTCCTCCGTCAGCGGCGAGGTGTTGAAAGGGTGGATTGCAGTGGAGGAAGTCCTTCTGAGGGTTGAGTGGATGTTTATCTGCTCTGTGCAAGGGAGAGACGAGGGAGAAAAGAGCTAGAAAGTTAGAAGAAGTAGCGGGTATAAGGGGTTTGGTTAGGGGTAAAATGAGTGGTGGTGGTGGTGTCAGTAGTATTAGGTGGAGTTGTAAAGGCAGAGGTTTTTGTGGGAGTATTTGTAGACACACTGTCCACACTAAGCTGGATTAATCTGACAATTCGAGTATGAAAACAACCTGCATCCACAAGTTACCCATCCACACTGATATGCTTAAACTAAAAACCTGCTTTATCTCTTCTCTGTTGTCCATTTATTATTGGTGGCAAACAGTAAACCATGCTACACAGTAAATGATTGGATGAACAGACTGGTTATTACGGCAAGAATCGACCAAAATGAACGTAATATATAATGATCACAGCATTAAAACAACACACAGGTGAAGTGAATGACATTAATCATATTTACAGAATGCATTACTTTGGCACGTACCACCTAGCTCCACCCAAATGTGTGTCAGATTTTGCACATCACCATATGGCAATGACACTCCCCTTCAACAGCGGCCTCTCCCAGCAGGTCAGTGATCACTGTCATACAACAACAAATGAGAGCCTAAGGCATTAACCCAGCCTCCAAACGCCCACATCCCAATTCGATCAAGCACCTGCGAGATGTAGGCAAAAGTGGAATAGAAGAAATATCTTCTCAAGCTTACCTGCTTTAGTGTAGATGTGGTCTCAGTAGCAGTAAGTGTCTTGAGCTGTGTGTGATCAGGTAGTAGTAACTGTCTTCTAGTTGGAGGGAATTGCAGCTAAATAGAAATGATGCACTTATTTATATGCACTTAGAAAATAGCTAAGATGGCGGCGCGCATAGGTGCAGCGGCTCACGGCTCTCCTTTTTTCTTAATCTCATTGTACTTGTGTATAGTGACAATAAAGGCATTCTATTCTATTCTATTCTATTATTTGATAGTGTCAGCGAAGTGGTAGAAAAACCTTGACTAATCTTGTTACGAGCCTTGCACACAAAATGTTGCTGAAGTTGTGCTTAGTTTTGGTTGTAAACCTTCGATTTTGCGTGTGAGAATATGCCGACATTGGACTTTATTTGATTTGTTGAAATAGTGATCACAGTACGAGGAGCACTGTTGGTCAGACAAGCAAGTCTGTATGCAGTCCTTCGTGAAGTTCTCACGCTGCATTATCGCCGTGTTTCACCGTGTTCCTCTTTTTAATCTCCAAAGACGCGACAGAGGAGCAGCTGCTTTTGTGGTCTTTGAGATTGTTACCTCTGAGTTTAAACAGCTACACAAACAGAACTGCAGGTTATACTTTCTAAAAAATGAAACAAAAGAACAATTAAAAAAAAAAACAGGAATTATTCGTCATAAGAGTCCTGATAATTATGAGGATCAATGCTCAAAAGCAGATATGTTAAACTCAGCGTCAGCCATCCTCTCCAGAGATGCTTTAGTTCAGTATAACTGTTTTACAGAGAATCGAAATATATTACTGTGACTTCATTATTAGTTCATTCAATTTCATTTATATAGTCTCAATTCACAACATACAGTTGAAACCAGAAGTTTACATACGCCGTATAAAAAGACATAAAACCTTTTTTATCTCACTGTCTAACATTAAATCAGACTAAACCTTTCCTGTTTTAGGTCAGTTAGGATTACCAAAATTATTTATATTTGCTAAATGTCAGAATAATGAGAGAGAATTTTTTATGACTTTCTTTAAAGTCAAAAGTTTACATACACTAAGATTGCTATTCCTTCACACTATTTGGGAAAGCCCAGATGATGATGTCATGGCTTTGGAAGCTTTCGATAGGTTAATTGATAACATTTGAGTTAATTGGAGTTTTGGAGTGGCCATGACAAAGCCCTGATCTCAATCCTGTAGGAAATTTGTGGGCAGAGCTGAAAAGATGTGTGGAGCAAGGCGGCTTACAAACCTGACTCAGTTACATCAGTCCTGTCAGGAGGAATGGACCAGAATTCATCAAACTATTGAGAGAAGCTTGTGGAAGGAAACCCAAAACGTTTGACCCAAGTCATACAGTTTAAAGGCAACGCTACCAAATACTAAGGAAATGTATGTAAACTTCTGACTTTGAAGAAAGTAGTAAAAAATTCTCTCTCTCATTATTCAGTTGTTTAGCAAATAGAAATAATTTTGGTAATCCTAACTGACCTAAAAGCGGAGAAGCTTAGTCACATTTAATGTCAGATAGTGAGAAAAAAACGTGTATGTAAACTTCTGGTTTCAACTGTAAGTCATCTCAGGGCATTTCACATAACAAGGTCAAGACCTTCTGATATTTTATTACAGAGAGAAACCCAACACATCCAGTAATTCCTATGATTTGAGCAAGCGCTCTGCAACAGTGAGAATGTCACATTATCGAGCGTATCTTAAATATCATTTATACTTCTCATGCTTTCAGGGTCCAGAATTACTGAGCAAGTATGTTGGGGAGTCTGAACGGGCTGTGAGAGAGGTACGTGACTTCCCTACACCTGATTATTACAATGAATTGCTTGTGATGATCTGTTAAAAATACTGTTATTATGTCAGCGGAAAGTTATTTATACTCACATTCTTTCTTGGACACTTTATCCTTGCCAAGCTAAAGTGTTACAATCGTGCGGCCCGAAATGCTCCTAGTTGTTTATGTAATGAAAGGATGACCTGAGGTGTAATTTATGTGGATAATGACCGCTGTATTTCCTCTGTGTGTTTGTGCACACTTCTGGTTGAGAATGATTCATTGGTCCTGTAAAAGATTTGTCCTGTTTTCTTCTATTGTTGCTTGCAGGTGTTTCGGAAGGCGAGGGCCGTCGCTCCCTCCATCGTCTTCTTCGATGAGATTGATGCTCTCGCCAGCGAAAGAGGAAGGTACGCTGTGTTTCTTTTCTTAATGAGGCCTGAAAATAGGAAAAAAGATGCCAAGATACTGCTGTCAGACAACTCCTTCCCATGTGATAATTTTGCATTTCCTCCCTCACAGCTCCATGAGTAATTGTTCACTGCTGAGTAGTGCTAGTGTCCGGCACTATATTCAGGACTGTGGTCGGTCATTGTCCAGCGATGACAAATGCACTGTCATCGTTGCGGTCTGCTTTAATTTAGCGGCTGTAGCCTTCTGTTCACACAATTCTCGCAATGATTCATATATGATGGATGGAGCAAACATCCCAAAAAGTATGCATGACTGCGCTATCAAAGCCAGCCACTCAGTTCCCATGGTGTCTCCTCAGTCTTTTGTGGCTTTTCACTACCGGCGAACACAGAACACAGTCTTGTCCGGAGGCGCTTTAGTAGGATGGCACTGGGAACATCTGTGGCTTAAAGGAAGGAGGACGAGGGGGGGGCAGACAGAGGACACAGACCGGAGGCGCACAAACACTTCATTGTGCCCTTCCACGGCAGATGGAGAAGGCCAAATATGCAGCATGCTTCCTGGTAAACCAGTCGATGAAACTAAATGTTGTAGGAAGGAGCACAGCAAGGCCAAACGGCCGTCTTTATACCTCTTTTTAAGGGAGCCCTTGGTCAAATGTGTCAAATTCTGTACTGCACCGAGCACGCAGCATATTTTGAAACCTCTGTGTTTGTCAAAGTGTTCCTGCTCATGAAGTCTGATAATTAAAATCAGGTTTAATATGGGAATTTCTGTAATTTTTTTATGCTATACCAGCCCATCTTTTTGTATTAGAAATGCCACCATTCATTTAATTGTCACTGTGCTGGTTTTCTGAACAGAAATATTTGTTTTTTTAATCACAATAATAAATAGTACCAGTCGGGGTTTAATTAATTAATTTGCAGCATTGATAAATTGACTGATTTTAGGTCAATTCAATACATTGCCGTGCAAACTAATCATTAAATTCAATTTCTTCATATTTAAAGTTTGGAAACTCTCCACAGTATTTAAGTCGAAACTACTTTCTTCTCTGTCAGGACTGGACCTGGTGCTACAATTGTAACTGCTTACGTTGATACTGTCCGTCCACTCATACTTTAGCTATACCTGCTTTGTCCTGCGGATGTTGTGAGGTGCGTCACGGCAACCCTTTCCCAAACGGAAGACTCCTTCATATGCAGCTAAGAAATGTAGCCTTCTGTTTCACAGAGCATGAAGGATCCACCTGTTGGATCCAAAGATTCATCGCACAGCGGTGATGATTAGATTTTGAAGCAATGAAACCGAGGAGTTCACTTTTCAATCTTAGCACTGGGTTTCAACCTAAACAGCTAATGATACAAAAGTTAAACATGTACTCCTCCTGTTGTCAAGAGTACTGGGCGACATGTTTGTGGGAAAAGCTGGTGATGCAAGTCCTCCGTAGACCAGACCTTCTGCTTTAACAGCCCTGGGCTCAGCCACACTTTCACAGACATTAAAAGAATAGAGCCCCTGAACAGAGACACAGCTACAGGTGGATATGTACAATTATTTTTTTGTGAGAAACATTCTTCCTGGGTTTCATGTACAACATACCTAAGGACCCAGTCCCGTCTGTATCATTATTCTTCTTCAGAATCGGTTTCTGGTCCACGATTATAACTTGCCATTGTCCAACACAGACTAGATGTGCAGTGTTTGAGCAGTGTTGTGTGTGAGCTGGTGTGCTCGAGCTACATCTAAGCCATTTTCAGGCAGAAATGGATTGTTGTATTAAAAAAAAAGCAACTGAATACATACCTTTGACACACAGAGATGAGTTGTTAGGAGTCGACTCAAAGGGAGTTTAAATTGAATTGTTGATAAGTCAGTGATTTATGGAACAAGTACCAACTGTTCAATGCTCTCAGTTCCAACGTGTTAGAGATAAACAGGAGGTTTTGAAGAGTAGCAGCCCTTTTTTCCACCATCTTTATTTCTTTTCTTTGACCTTAGCCAGACTTGATATGCTTCTCCTTCCAACAGGCTGTACTCTAGAGTATGCATTTTCTACAAGAACCTGGATCAGAGTTTTGCACCATGACATATAATGCAGTCTTGGCTCTTTTCCAGCGTACAGGATACGACTCTATTGCAGCTTGTCTTCATCAGTCATTTATTTGCCAGTGGGACTGACAAGTTCTCTCTGCTTTTACAGTATGATTGAGCTTTCCTCCCCTTATCTTGATGTTCAATTTTGCGTATGTACTCAGCGAGAGCCGACTCCGACTTAGTTTGTCAGCTCGCTGCGATAGACGTGGGGCTGGACCTGTGCCTCGAGGCCACTCACCATTTTAAAAATGCACTTAGTGCTGATCTGTAAAGGTTATTTATTGGTCTTCACTTCCTGCCATGTTTAATCAATGAAGTGGCTCATGCACGCCGGCAAGAATTCAAAACTGTTGACACAACCAGACAGCCTTTTGCTGTATGTGTGTGTTTTTGAGTGTGTGCTTGTTCCTTCTCGAGGCAGGAGATGAGAAGCACCTGTAAATCTGTCAGCCTACCTGCCACGAGTCCAAACTGGTGGAATGAAACGAAGAAGACAGGGAGAGGCAAAATAGGGGAGTCAAAAACAAACTGAATGTTAGACAGAGGCAGAAATGAAAAAAATGAGAAAATGGTCAGCATTGACTGAAATGGAAGTAAACTGGCTGAGACAAAATGTTTGTTACATGTGCTTTCTTTCTTTCTTTCTTTCTTTCTTTCTTTCTTTCTTTCTTTCTTTCTTTCTTTCTTTCTTTCGTTCTCTACTTTCCTTTCACCCTGCATCTGATATTTTCCTTTTTTTTTGCTTTTTCTTTCTTACATCGTATTTCCTATCACCACAGCCTTCTCTCTCGTTACTTTTTTCTTTCTCTCTAATCCTAATTCCCTGCATCCTGTCTTCCCTGCTATCTCCCTCTCGCCTAAACTTTCCCTCTCTCTCTCTCTCTCTCTGTCCCCCTCTGTCTCCCCTCATATCTCAGTGACAGAGCTCTTTTGTGTTCCTCTGCAGCCTTGTCTGTGCTAATGACGTCTGGCACTTCCGCTGGCCCTGTCAACAGAGACTGTGTGTGTGTGTTTGAGCTGGGAAGGATGGCTGTCTGCACTGTGCTATGGAAAATAACCACCTTGTAATGCAGTGACTAACGCACTGATGAGGTTTTTTTTTTTTTTTTTTCCCTGAAGGATGAGGCTGTTGATATTCTATTATTCAGTCCCTTTGTGCCAAAGAGCTCCATGTTTGTCCAAAAACTCTTCAAATCACATCAAAGATTCACATCGTTTCACTGGGTGACATGTTCGTTCATTACCAAGAACATGGACTTTTAATTTATTTTGGGTCAAAGTGGCTTAGCCTCCTTTCTGTTGTTGGACTGTTTCTTTAAAAAAAAAAAAAAAAGTATAATGATGAATCTTTTTATTTTTATTCTGACCAAAACAGCTCCATGTAGCTCAACGGAAGCATTCTTCTTTTGCACACTTTAGGATAAGTGCAACTCAATAATTTGAATTACCTTTGAGTTATTTGAAATGTATGAATGCACTGGCTTTAGAGACACAAAGTCCAAACAAGGGACTTATTTCTGAACTTTTAAGGAAGAATTGCTTCATTTTAGAGCGATAACTTGTCTTTGGCAATGCTTTGCTGCCTTTTTTTTCTCTTTTTTTGAAAGAACAATTGCAAGCAGAATTTCAGTGAAACCATTTCCTACAAGTATTGAAAACCTGGAAAAAAAATCGTTGATCGTGTAATTCTGCAAATAAATAATGAGAAAGATTTAAAGCATGCTTTCGACTCTAAAGTGTTGGACGTTGCGTTTTTTCAATTATCCATCACATATTCAACACTGTGTAATAGCTCTCTATTTTTTTATTGTTCCATTTAGTTCTTTTCTATTGTTTATTTCTCTTTCTGCCTTCATTCCTTTAGAAGCACACGATGTCCTTCCTCCATCATCTAGCTGTATTTCATCACATTACACTCAATAATTCAATCAATAATCTACTTTTTCCCCAGTTTGTGGCTAATTTACCAACATCGCTTTCCTGCTCCCTCATCCATCCTCCTGTCCATTCATCTATCCACCCATCACTCTCACATCTCTTTGCCTTTCCTTCCCTTCATGCATCTTATGTTTTCATCCCTTAAGCTCCTCGGGTTCCGGCGGCGTAGGCGACCGGGTCCTGGCTCAGCTCCTGACAGAGATGGACGGCATTGAGCAGCTCCGGGACGTCACCGTGCTGGCCGCCACTAACCGGCCCGACATGATCGATAAGGTAAACAGACGCCGACTCTCTGTCTTCATCTCTACTTGGTCCTCTTTGGTGTGTGATTGATAAGGTTGAGGAGATGTTGTGTGTGTCTCCCTTGTCTCCTTCCCTGACTCCCTTACTCTGTTGTACATGATTGATAAGGTTAAAGGTCGCTTGCTCCAGTCCGTCTTCGTTGAGTTGTTCTTTGGACGCTGGTGCTGTGTTGTTTTGGTCTGCTTCAATCTGACACTAGAAGATTTTTACCCTTTGTTTGGTTTCAGTTGCATTCATATTGTTTAGAGTGACTTAATCTGCCTTCGAGCTTCTAATCATTTAGTTTGTTTTTGTAAATGGCACCAAAGACTTTTCTGTTCTCTTACAAGAAGCCAAATGTGTGGCTCAAAGGACATGGAAATAACTTCTAAAAATACTAAAGAATACTAAAGGTTTACGTGTATGAAAATATAGCTGTTTACATTTTGTACAAATACGCCCATTATTCTTCCAGAGGCTCTAATGAAATTGTGCTTATTTGTTGTTGCCTTTACAACCTCTTAGCAAGGTTTGGGTTTCCACAGTTGCTTCTATTTTGAATCTCATTCCAATTTCCAAAACACCACATGAACAAATCTCTTTTCAAGCCTTATATGTCGTCTCCATCTTTTCTTATCCATGCTAGCAAAATGGCCGCAGGGTTCAAAATGTCTGTTTGTTTGTCAGTACGCTGTTTTTGTCCGGATGGAGAAGTCTTTTTAAAGCAGGGAAAACTGTGGGTTCTGAGTTTGTTACACCACAGAAAATTGTCATTAAGCACCCAGCCAAATTTGAATGATTAAAAAAACCACAAGTGTATAAATTAGGGTACAAAGTCATGAAAAAATAAGCACTGTTCTCTGCTTTGAAATGCTGGTATTGTGTTTAGTGACACTGATTGACAGCTTTCACAGCAGCCCAGGTTAACTATACTAATTGTACAAACAGACATGAGTTTGTTTTGACCAAACCCAACATAAATCTTAAATGCACCCTATAAATGCAGGAAACCACTTTGCTGTAGTGAACTAAGTTACCTACTATGATAAATCTAGCACATAAGGCCAGTTCTACTCATTGGTGGGCACGAATTGCCAACAGTGTCACCAGATGTCAGCAGGATGGAAAGTCAGGACTGGCCCTATTCACCAGTTACAGATTATCCTTCAATCCAAGTTTCTCCAGTGACAGTTTGTAAAACTACCTGGTGTCAAATGTTCTATGCAGAGGAAAGTGCTAGTTGTGATCCTCAGCTGTCAACCAATCGACCTCAGTCCTGTTCAATCCACCTCTTTTTCTCATCAGTCTTTGGAAAACTAAATAAGGAGACCAGTCTGTCATGTAAAGTCTGGCATCCAGGGAAGTAGTGAGACAAAGGTATAGCTGTCTACTAAACTGTTGACTATAGTCAGCATACTAACTCACAATCAAGTGGGAGAACCACTGATGCTAACGCAAACTAGAGTTTACAGTTAGGTCATGCTAAATATGACCTCAGTGTGTTATTGAATCATGATTTCAGGCCTTCCCCCCAAAAAAACTGAACACAAAACTGATGAAAAAACTCTAGATTTCCTTCACATGTACATTAACAACTAGAGAATGGGTTGTCATTTGGTACAGGCATTCATGGTCTCCAGAGGATGTCTACCCTCATGACTTTGGTGATCACATGACTTTTTCTTTACCATTATCATCTTGTCAAAATTTCAGCACACAGCTACTTGTGTTTTCTGCAAGTTTGGAAATGTTGCCATCACACATAACCAAGAGGGTAAACATGGAAAGCATCATACATGATCGGCATGAGCATGTTAGCATTACTAATATGAGCATGTTGACCTTAGCATTTACCTCAAAGCATTGCATGCACACTATTTCAACATTTAAAGTATATCTGTTTAATGGTAATGCATCAGGACATCCAGTAATGGGAACAAACAGCATAAACAAGGTGTAAAACACATGAACAGCACCAGTTCTTGAATATATCACATTAGTTTTATGAACATGTCAGATCTGTCGCTGTTTATTTTAATTTCAGCTTCTAACCACACTTTGTTAACATTAACAAGACTCAAATTAATGAACAACAACCAACTTTCAACTGTGATTTGGTTCATTTAAAACTTACTAAAAATAAAACATTTGTCTCTCATTCAGTCCTTCTTCCTGTCTACGACTATTAGAAAAAAGGAAGATTCTACTATCAGTCTTTTTCTTCCTCTGCCTCCTTACGTTTTCTATTTTTCTAGCCTTTTATCTCCCTCTCTTCCTCTTCCCATCCACAAAAGCTTTCTTTGGTCTCTTATCCACCCATCTCCGTCTTAATGAAATTTCCTGAGTGCTGATCAAAGACGGAGTCTGTGCCTTGTCAAAAAGGACACAGGAAAGGAGAATGTCGCGCCGCTCTTTAAGCTCCTGCTCAGGCCGCCGTCTGTCTCTGCCTTTCTTCCATTTGTTTTTTGTTTTTTTAACTTTGGGTCTCCTCCTTGGTTTAAAAATACATTCATGCCACTCATTCTAAAAATATGTGTTTTATTCTAAAATAGCATATACAGAATTAAAAGACGCTGACCTCCTTCAGTGTTCTTAAGAAAATTATTTAAAGGAAGTTACTGGAGTTTTTAAACACTGTTTCCCACTTGACACTTGGTAAACAATCAAACAGGATTTGTCTTTATACATATTTACGTATGTAGACGAAGAAAAGGGCATCGAGATTTGGCTCATCTGCTGCTCTGCTCTGTAAACTGGCAACTGCTTGCTGCAGATCCATCAGCACAAATGTGCCACACACAAATTTTGGGTGATCCCCCCCCCCCTCCTCAAACACCCCAACCACATTTCTAGCCCACTTGTGGCGAGCTGATCCAGAGCTGTGGTATGGGAATGACAGCAACTTCCTCCACCTTCACAATTGGTTGCTATCTCATTTCAAACTCCATTAGTGGTACGGCAGCTAAGAAGCAGCCCGAGTGTGTAGCTGCGTGTATACGTGTATCTGAGAGAAGGATAGACGCATTAAAAAAAAGAAAGAAACTCTATTAACAGTAGGCAGGGGGTCAGGCCCCTGGGTAGACAGATGGGAAACCCCAGGCATCCTTCCACAAGCTGGCCCCCCTCTCAGGAAGTGATCTCCCGTGCAGCTGAGAAATCAGATTACCTCCTCCTGCTCACACCCCCTACTGAGTGTGTGTGCATGTGTGAGTGTGTGTGAATGAGGAACCAATGCGAACGGAAGCTGCCAAATGGGCAGATAGACACCCCGCGTTTGCCCCCTACGATTTTAGCACCCTACTCTTCTTTAGCGCTCCTTCGCCACCGCTGACACTGTGTGTCAGTTCACACCGGAGATGGGCAGACATTTCCATACCAATGGCAGGATATGATGGGACAAATGAAGATTAATGGGACGCTTGGGTGTCAATGAAGTCATTGTCGGCTGTTGGTGGTGCAGAGGAGGCTCCTGGGGGCCTCAGCTGTTTGATGGACAGAGTGGGTGGGATGGAGAGAGGAAGAGCGGGGAGAAAGTGGTGTTTACTTAAGATTGAAAGGAGCAGGCCTGTTGTCCATCTCTCAGCCACTGCCATGCAACAGTGTAGTTTTCCGTTTCTTATCAAGTTTTTCTCTCTGTGTCAGCATAAGGGTTCCCATATGGCACCAATGTCAGAATACATTTTTATGTATTATGCTCAATGAAGTTGAACCTCTGAGCCCCAAAGCCTGCTGGCAGTTTAAAAGGTGCGTTATCCTTAAAAGAATTACCAAAATGACACCATTTATCAGAGCCAGACACTGTAAAATAAAAAGAATCATAAGATTGTCAACGATGCTCCGCAAACTACTCATCTGTGACATGCTCCACCATCAGGAAACTTAACTAATCTAAGTTTAAGATTATTATATTTCATCAAATTCACTTTATTGTACATGTCTAATTAAAAATTTGCCAAAAATAAACAGATCTGTCCAACAGGATTCTGCAAAAAAATAAAAATCCCGCAATTCTCGGACCAAGCATGAAGCCATTAGTTCCTTTAACTCAACTGCAACCAACAATCTAATGACAAAAATTACGAAGACTTTTCAACTGAACTAGATTGAGCTGCAGTCAGTGTTTCCACAAAGCAGTTAGGAGTCAGACCTGGAAAAAAATGTAAGTGGTAAAATATCTACAGTGTGTGGATTCACGATTAGGTATCGAGTCTAAAACTATGGTCTTACTAATACTGATTTCAACCCGACTGACACTCCAGTTCTCAACAGAATGAGTTTTACTGAACACTGGAGTTCTTTGTTGTGCTGATTTTAGGACCATACGTTTAGATTTGTGTGAATTGTTTTTCCTTATTTAAATGTTCATAAATCCATACATTCTGTACCATAAATTCCCTATTATTGTTTGTACCTGATTTATTTGAAAAACAGAGTATGCATAGTAGCTTTTTCGCTCATCTGATTTAAACTCTGGTGTGCTTTTTAAAATATAAACCAAAGCGGCCTGCAGTTGTTATGAATCTCAACTTGTGTGACAAACACCACTTGTCTCTTTGCACATGCATAGAATCCTACAACTTCCTCCGGCCTTTGTGCTGCGTCACTGAGGTATGCAGCAGCATACAAATGCAGCTCAATCCCATCCTAACAAACGGATAACAAAACATAACAGATATAGTTCTAACTGCTTCCGCCTCTTTGTGCTACAACAGTGACAAACTGAATTCACGACTTTGCTTTGTCACATCTGTAAACACACAGGGACGATCTGCTCTGTACCAAACAAAAACACAAATAAAGTCCCATTAAACTTGCACAGCATCGTCTGTTGCTACATGTCTGGCTGCGTTAGAAAATGTCGCTAAAAAGAAGCTGCAGCCGGTGTAAGTAGGTTTGTCTGTTCCTCCACAGGATGACATGCCACCAAACACCCCCTGCTGCTGCCCTCCAGCTTAAAAAAACTCTTACACTTCCTCTTCCCTTTGTATTGC